CCGCCTCATCGAAAGCTCATACAATCATTAAAAAAGGGAATTTATATAGCGTTCCACATCTCTGTGACGTCATAGGAAATGATTACTTATTTTCTGGTTCTTCACATTGAGAATGATCCCTGTTCCCCTCCTACCTCATCTAAATCCCATCCAATCATTTCCTATGACGTCACAAAGGTGTGGAACGCTATATAAATACCCTTCTTTAATGTGAAAATGAATGCCGTAAGGAGGGCGGAACTCAATATATTCCAGAAATTTGAAATGAAGAAATGGCTAGACGCCGGATAGTTCAGTTGGGAGAGCACCCGATGCATAATCGGAACCGGGTTCAAATCACGGTCTGGACTATTTATTTTTTTCAGTATAAAAATTTTCTCGTTATTCATATTGAGAATGATCCCGGTCTCCTCCTACCTCATCCAAATTGCATCCAATCATTTCCTATGATGTCACAAAGATGTGGACCGCTATATAAATTCCCCCCCCCCCGAAATAGACGCCATATAAAAAAACCCTTCCCAATGATAACGCACCCTTTCACAAAACCCCTCTCTTTACGAACCCCCTCTCTTCACGAAACCTCCCGGTTTGCAAAACCCCCCTCTTTGCAAACCCTATTATGTAACTCCCTATGCAAATCCGCCATTTTATGCCCTGCCCCACACCTAGACCCCCTTATGTAAAACCCCCCCGGATATCACTACCCCCATGTATAATCCCCCCATACATAAAGCCGCCTCTTTGAAAAATCTCCCCTTAACAATTAAAAAGTAACTCATTCCAAACCAAAAAATGTGCCCTCAATGAATGGAAAATACTAAAAATTTCCAGGAGCTAGAAAAAAAAAACTCTTTTCTTTTCGTCATTTTCAGGGGTCCAACTATCAAATGCTTTATTGATCTGGGATTTCTTCGGTTACCAAGAGTCAGCCTGGTTGTCGGATACCAGAGAAAAGAAGAAAACTGCATTCTTTCAGCACGTCAAAAGTAAATTGTTTAGCCTCTGCATTCGTTGAGCGATCCTCACCGTATGCTCCACACCTGATGTTTCTATTTACTCAGTATCGATTCTTACCACTCAACTTATTTTAATGTTCCCTTTACAAATAGAATGTCTTGCTCATGAATACACTTCTCGCACTTGATTCTCGCGTCCTTCCTTTTTATTTTTTGGTACACAGGTGCTCTTGTAAAAACAAACACCAGGTTATTACACCGAGGAGGGAGAATAAAAAGATGATGACTCTAACGACCGATTACTCGAGTTATAGTCAGAGGTACTTCATCTGGTATGAATCAAAGAGAGTTTATGGACCAAGAGAGAGACAGCAAGAGTGAAGCAGACTAATGATCTAGTGGATGTAATCCAATACCAGACTTCAGTTCCCATCACTTTAATAATTATGCATAACTGGGATGCTCAATAACTACTGGAATTGAAACCCATCCTTCATTTTGATAAGCTAATAAATCAATGAATTCAATTAATCAACTGATCAATTCTACAATTTATCTTGGAGGAATCACTTAATCCTTGTCATCACTCGGGCGACAATTAAAAAAGATAACAAAAATGGAATAGGATTAATGAATAGAGTATCTCTCCAATGTATGCGAAGGCTGTTTCCATTAGATCATCCACAATGACGCACATTAAAATAAGCGTGCTTCAATTATGAAATGATTGACTGCAACATATTCATAATACGTTCGGAACCCTGCCAACTGCGAAATAGATGCATCATGATCAAATACTCCAGTCCAGATGGACGGCTCAGAATTGCGTTTTTCCACTTCCGACACCCCATACAAGATAAATTAAATTAATTTTATTTGGCGATTTCGTTTTTCGCGATTATCTCGGAAACTATGAGAGCTAGAGCGTTAAAACCAATTCCATTCGATTCCGGAGGAAATTTGGGTTCCCTATAAGTAGATGGACGGCTCAGAATTGCGTTTTTCCACTTCCGACACCCCATACAAGATAAATTAAATTAATTTTATTTGGCGATTTCGTTTTTCGCGATTATCTCGGAAACTATGAGAGATAGAGCCTTAAAACCGAATTTGGATTCCCTATAGATAGATGGACGGCTCAAAATTGCGTTTTTTCACTTCCTACACCCTATACAAGATAAATTAAATTAATTTTTTCTTGGCATTTTCGTTTTTCGCGATTATCTCGGAAACTATGAGAGCTAGAGCGTTAAAACCAATTCCATTCGATTCCGGAGGAAATTTGGGTTCCGTATAGGCAGATGAACGGCTCAGAATTGCGTTTTTCCACTTCCTACACCCTATACAAGATCAATTAAATTAATTTTTTCTTGGCATTTTCGTTTTTCGCGATTATCTCGGAAACTATGAGAGCTAGAGCCTTAAAACCAATTCCATTCCATTCCTGAGGAAATTTGGGTTCCCTGTAGGCAGATTGACAGCTCCCAATTGCGTTTTCCACTTCCTACACCCAATGCAAGATAAATTAAATTTTTTTTTTTTGCGATTTCGTTTTTCGCGATTATCTCGGAAACTATGAGAGATAGAGCCTTAAACCTAAGACGAAACTCACACCCGCGATTATCTCGGAAACTATGAGAGATAGAGCCTTAAACCTAAGACGAAACTCACACCCGCGATTATCTCGAAAAACCGCGGGAAACGCTTTTGTACGCGTTTTTACCGTATTTCTCCAATCGAGTCATTCTCAGACAATCCTCATTGAGTTTCAATCATGTCAATTATATTGCTCTAGAAGATGGTCATATTAGTTATGATTATCATGTTAGTTGAGTAAACCCCTTTAATAATGATCAACATTAAAAAATTGATTGAAATTCTTTCCTTCAGAAAATAATAAATTTTGGAAAAATGAATAATCATTAGAAGAGTTGATCGAAGTAACATAGTCATTCTCTAGAGCAACATGATTGTCGTGATTGAAACTTAATCAGGCTCGCCTGGGAATGAGTCAACAGAATAATTCCTATTTTGGAAAAAATAATTATTTTTCTCAGTGTAGGCTCGAACGGCTGCTTGCTTATGTTGAATTTTCTAAAAATTAGTCACCAAAAACCCACCACATATATACATACATACAGACATGACCTTAAAAATATCATTTCTTCGTATTTCATAACATTCTAGACCATTTGCAACCAAAATTAGAAAATCGGTCAAATACAAGGCTTCCCCTCGGAAGCAAAAAATATAAAATGAATAGAAGTCTGTCCCAGTTCGATCCGAAAAATTTAATACCCCGTCACTCACACATAAATATACAGATATTTCTTCGCGTCTTGGATAATTCCACGAGAAAAAACCCTAGCAGGAGAAAATCACAACATAAAAATTTTCCACGGTTACAATACTCTCATTCAGCAGCAAATCACTCAACAAAAATAATGTTTTCACCACTTGGAGAAAAAATACATTTTTACTGCACATATTTTCTCATTCACGGAACGTTAATTGGCCAAGTAAATTTACGAGGCACCTCAGCCTCCGTTAAATACAACTAATTATCGATAGATATTATCTCGAGTGTCATTAAATCAACAAAAACCTCATGTTTCAAAAGGTGAAAAATATGCGAGCAAGTAAACAGACCCTTGGTACAACATAGACACGTTATCCGTTGACGTTTATCTTCGATTTATGATTTTAGACAGGCCACGCCAAAAACACGTAATATAATTCACCAAACAATTTTCTCACAGCACTATAATTATCGTAATAATCCTCAAGGTAAGATACACGCATACACTGGTGCAAGTAGGATGTCTCGGACTACCTCACTCTCGACTTACAAAACGAGTCTATTAATTTATACTACATGCCCCCACGTCACTCTATCCAGACGCTTTTTCCTTCATGGAAAATTGCTTCGGCTTCACCCTGAATATTGATTTATCTACCAACTACCTGAAACAAAGTTTCGTATAAAAATAAATTAATGCAGGGAGGTTAACATTCTATGATGCTTGAAGGCGTATTACCTTGTCTCATTGAAATCCGATTCCAGTGGGTGCAATTAGAAATGAGTCATATTGAACCCTCGGGTACTTCATACTCGTTGAAGTATGCCTGGTATCATCTACTCTTCCTGGGTTAAAGGCGTTAAAGTTCTGCCTTGTGTATATGTGGTGCAATTTAGCAACACGGGAGTACATTCTTTGGTGGTAAAGAGACAGAAGTAAGACACATAGTCCGTCCGGGGATAATATAGCTTCTTGCTATCTTGTGGCATTCATCATGGCGACAGCCAACACCACCATTCTCTCCTTGCACACATTTTTTTTATGGATGGAACAGTAAATATTTTACCTTCAATTGATCTTTTCAAATGGGAAATTTGACGATTCGTTGATTTAGTAGTGGCATTGACAGTAATTATTAAATTTTTAAAGAAGCCAATGCCGCACGGATCCCGCCGTCTGGCCGAGCGATTTAACCCGGGTCGCCGGTTATGTCCGAGTATATATATTTTGTTAACACTGTTGTAATGAAAATTTGATCGAAAAGGCGAAGTTTTGACAATTCAAAAATTGAATTGAAATTACTTATTTGTTATTCTAGTTTCGAAAGATTATAGTTGACAATTTCCTCAATTCTAATTTTGACCAATCAGAGTGCAGTATTTGGAGTCACGTGACGCGTTTCACACTGATAATTTCTCCGGCTGCAGGGAAATTCTCAGTCTGCTGTTTTGAGGAATATCTGTCAATTGTTTTCTCCGAATTTGACAGATATTCCTCACATTTTGGTGAAATGTGTCCCGTAACCCCGAACACCGAGCAATTCATTACAATTTTATTTCTGTCTGAAATTTCCTGTCCAGATGAATTCATAATGATAACATCTATTCAATTACCCAAACTAATAACGCAAAGATGAAAATAATTAATGATCTACTCTGGAAATTCATTCATTACTTTAATTACGCGATAAAGAACAAAGTAGTTACATTCAGCTGGAGGTTATGCGCCACTGGTAATTCTTCGTGAACCGAAAAAAGGTGAAGCTAATACATAAAATAATAAATTCTTCAGAGATTAAGTTTAAGAGTCCAGTGGAGTTAACTCGTGGGACGTTTGGCATTTGACTGAGCGTAGCCCTTTATGAGACCAATATATTTTTACAACGCCTGTAGTTGGCGTCATTTCAGGGCGCAATACCGGCTCAAGATGAAAGAGAGAAAAAATTGTATCTACGGCTCTCTACTCTTATACATTTTGTGTTTGTGTATTGAGAGAACTGCAAGATCTCGGGTGAGATAGATTTTAATGATAGATTTAGAGGTAATTGAATGCTGGGTAGAACACTATATGTGTTTTATACTGGAAACAATCGGTGGAGACCCAAGGTGCGACAATGTTCTCCAAATATGTCCCTACGATAGGTTTATTGTTTGGGATAGTTTCCATGAAATAGCTTGGGGAGAGAACAATGCCCCTCCAAGTCAATTTGTGAGTTTCCTCGGGTCTTTAGTGGACTCATTTTTCAATAATTTTTTTCTGTTTTGATTATTTTCATTCTAGGTTCGTTTTTCTTTTTATATGAGATACAAAGAGAACCTTTACTTGTAAACGAAAAAAGACAGTTCGCCACTCGTGAACGTAACATCACTGACAAAAAATATTTTTTCAGTGATTTTTCAACTCCAACTTCACGCTCGTGAAAACCCCGTAGCACTTGTATCGAAATGAGCTAATTTATATTCAATTTTGATAAAATTCCGTCAACTTTTTAATAACAATAATGATCATATTAAATTCATGGAGATCATTCACGAAAATCAAATCCTTGTGCGTGCTCTAGTTTTAAAAAAAATGAACATATCAACTTGTTCTCTATTTTGAGCATTGGGAAAACTATAAGAGTATGATTATTGTTGTAAATTTGCATAATTCACATTTATTACCCGCCAAACGCATGATTAATCTAGCCAATATATGATACAAATAATTGAATCAATTCAATCATTCACATTCGTAACAAACATAATACCGTGATAAATTAACATCTCTGCTCTCGCAATATTCCCCATAAATCATTTCAGATTAATGATTCAATATATACGTAAACAGCGTCATTATGGAATCGATAAACCATCATTTTCCGTGCATGAATCCCCACAAAATGAACAAATAAAATACGAAAAAAAGTTGATAAAAAACGTGAAACTCAGTAGAACACTTCCCTCCATTTTTCCCTCCAGCCTCAAGGAGGAGACAGAAATAAAAGGCCAAGTATTCCTATTCTGCTGTTCGGCGTGAAATACAAGCCGCGACATTGCCGGCAATGCAGTGGCATGTTTACGAGAATCCCAAGGATAGGAAACTGTGCACAAGGCGTCCGGGTACGTTAGTTCGCGCTTTTAAAATTTTTATCTACCTTCCTCTCCTCTATCGGTTAGAATGCAGTTCAACCGCGAGCAACTATGCAGTCGTTAGCCATCCAATATCTGTAATAATGATCGGTAATTTTATGATGAGAA